AGATGATAAAAAAAAATGCCCTAGATCAATACTAATGCAAATAATGTTCAAGGCAAATTTTGCTGACAAGGCTAATTTAATATAAATTTTCTTCTGAAACATTACAATCAGTTTGCCCTTATTTATATTATTTTCAAGTATTTTATTTCCATAAGTACTTTTTAAAAAAAAGTATGCTAAAGTCTGCTTCCTCTTCACAGGTCTTGGTATAGTGCTTAATACGTATTGTAATTTCCTGCATAATGTCATACATGCATCATGCACCCCCCTTGGTTGAAATCATGTTCCAGGCCCCACAAACTATGTTTCACAATTAACCCCTGTCTGACGCCCCTGCGTGTGTCACAAAAGTGAGTCAGTGTTAAAAATGAAGATGATAAAAAAAATGCCCTAGATCAATACTAATGCAAATAATGTTCAAGGCAAATTTTGCTGACAAGGCTAATTTAATATAAATTTTCTAAAAAAAAATTTAAAAATTTTTTTCCGTTTGAGCAGTTTTTGACAAAATCTTAATTTTACAGGCTTCACAAGTATTACTGTTTGGTTAAGTAAGTAAGTTTGTCACTCCATGACTTCCACTCTGCAATAGATGCTGAGAAGAAACCCTTGAGGTACATGACTGGCATGCTGAGGACCTGCCAGCTTGAGAAGATGATGACCAGAGAAGAACTGGAGGAAGAGCAGAGGTGATTTCTTCTTAACTGAATGTCTTGTAATTTCAGCAATCCTTGCTAAAATGCTGTTGGATAGTAAGAACATTAACCAGTATCAGGAGGATACCTGGCTTTTGTCCACAATGTACACCGTCATTCAAAGATTTGGGGTTGATTTTTTTTTACTGTTTTTGAAAGAAGTCTCTTATGCTCACCCAGACTGTATTTATTTGCTTGAATTTTTAAAAAAATATATATTTTAAAATGTAATTTGTACTTGTTGTAATATTCTAATATGCTGATTTGGTTCAAGAAACATTTCTTATTATTATCAGTGTTGAAAATTATATAAAAAAACAAATTAGTTTAAATTTTAAATTTAAGTTCAATAGAAATACAGTGTTAAAGATGAAGATGATAAAAAAAAATGCCCTAGATCAATACTAATGCAAATAATGTTCAAGGCAAATTTTGCTGACAAGGCTAATTTAATATAAATTTTCTAAAAAAAACAAACAAAAAAAAAATAATAATAATTTCAGTTTGAGCAGTTTTTGACAAAATCTTAATTTTACAGGCTTCACAAGTATTACTGTTTGGTTAAGTAAGTAAGTTTGTCACTCCATAACTTCCACTCTGCAATAGATGCTGAGAAGAAACCCTTGAGGTACATGACTGGCATGCTGAGGACCTGCCAGCTTGAGAAGATGATGACCAGAGAAGAACTGGAGGAAGAGCAGAGGTGATTTCTTCTTAACTGAATGTCTTGTAATTTCAGCAATCCTTGCTAAAATGCTGTTGGATAGTAAGAACATTAACCAGTATCAGGAGGATACCTGGCTTTTGTCCACAATGTACACCGTCATTCAAAGATTTGGGGTTGATTTTTTTTTACTGTTTTTGAAAGAAGTCTCTTATGCTCACCCAGACTGTATTTATTTGCTTGAATTTTTAAAAAAATATATATTTTAAAATGTAATTTGTACTTGTTGTAATATTCTAATATGCTGATTTGGTTCAAGAAACATTTCTTATTATTATCAGTGTTGAAAATTATATAAAAAAACAAATTAGTTTAAATTTTAAATTTAAGTTCAATAGAAATAGAATTGTGAAATAGAATTGTTTTGTAGCATTATAAATGTCTTTACTTCCATGTTTGTTCAGTATAATGCATCATGTCTAAAATGCAAGGTTCACTCTGAGTAATTCAAGTCTTACCTTTGTTTGCTTTGTATTTTGCTTTTCTAGTTTGTTCTCAGAGAGACGAAGGATGTGTTGTAATATCTTGATGATATATGTCCCATGCATACAAACAATTTCAACGTTTTCACTCCACCCATAACCAACATTTTAAAATACATTTTCTTTAATAGTCTGCAAACAGTTCTGTTAGGCATGTTCACTTCAATATTGTAGTTTCACATAGTTTCAAATGTGCTCCTGTTTGCATTATTTCATGGCATTTGTTGATTATTCAAATAGGTAAACAAAAGACATTTTCTGTTTGAACAGCACATGCTGTAACACCTCACTCACCTTTACATAGTGAACGCTTCAGGCTATTCAGGCTCATTTTCTGTTTGCCAATTGTTCCTTTAAACCCGGATAAACACGTCATACCTGTACGAATGTGAGTTTATTGTTTGGATTGTGAAAAGTGGGGACATGGGGTAATGTCCTGAAAAGTCACCTTCTCCTTGTAATACCTATGTCATACCCTTGTCATTATACAAATTTATGTACTCATTTGTCACAAAAACGTACACACACACACACACACACACACACACACGCACAATTCCACCCAATCAGCTTATCTTTGTAAAATGGAACAGCTTCTTAAATAACTGAATGTGCACTCTTAACTTCAGCCAATCAAGCATTATATTATGATATTATGATAATTAAGCACTATTTAATGATAGAACGAGTGATTAGAACTAAAACTTGGTAACCATGAATGAATGCATATTTGTAATTTTAACTGAACTTAGGACGATAATTAAGCACTATTTAATGATAGAACTAGTGATTAGAACTAAAACTTGGTAACCATGAATTAATGCATATTTGTCATTTTAACTGAACTTAGGACTGGTGGTGGTGTTTAAGATATTGTTGGTCATAGGTAATAGTAATTATTATTAAAAGATACTACTACTACTACTATTATTATTTGCTGGGTTCATGAATATTAATCACGTTGTCAGCGTTTGCTCGAACTGATTTGCTGAAATCAAAACAGGGACGGTAATAGATGAGCGCCAGACAACGAGAGTTGTTCGCGTATTAGCTCCGCCCACTGCCGAGAAACCGGCATATCTTCTGCTTGTTCTTAAAAGCTGAATAATTCTAAATGAACTCTGTTATTTTGACAGGAAATACAACAAATAATATGGTTTACATGTAGCGCGTCGATTCAGCGTGGTATGCAAGACTCTCGCTCTCTCTCTTTGCATGTGTGAGAAACACAGCAGTTAAAGCGACGGCGAGTCGTGCGCCTTCACACTAGTTTACGGTACGTCAGATACAGGTGCGCTGCGTGCTACATACTGCGCATCCATTTAGTACATGACATGATCTATTGAGCGCATCCAAATAGTACAGATCGCTTGACGGAGAGTGAAACTCTCAAGCGCTCAGTCAGCGTGTTTATCGAGTGAAAATCTGTGTTGAACGCCTCTCACACACATACTGGCGTGTAACATCTAAGAATTTATTAGCCAATGGCTAATGTTAGACTTTATTTAGTCGCCCAGAGTAAGATTTAGTCGCATATGCGAGTGATTTACTCGCAATGTAGAGGGTTGAATAATTTGATTATTTTAACTCAGCTAAATTAAACTGCTCACGTTTTATTTGTACATCACTTTGCACACACACACACACACACACACACATATATATATATATATATATATAGGTTAGAAATAAACGAAAATCTCTGCAACACCAGTTACAGTTGAGGTTTATCTTGCAGAATCTGCTAAATGTTAATAATATGATAATAAGAGGATCATAAAAATCACATTCCACAAGACAAAATAACAGCTGAATTTATACAAATGACCCCATTCAAAAATGTACATGCACTTAATTCCCAATATTGTGTGGCGTTACCTGATCAATGACTGTTTTTATGTGTGCCTTGTTAAACTGCTCACTTTTGTTCAGAAAAATCCTCCAAGTCCTGCACATTCTTTGGTTTTCCTGAATCTTTTGCATATTTGAACCTTTCCAGCAGCGACTGTCTTTTCACACTAAACTTATAACCACAACTGTAGGTAATAATGTTACAGACTGAGCATCTGTGATATGTGTTTAATAAAGTGTATGTGTTTTGTTTCAGGGTTCAGCGAGAGCAGTTAGCTGCCATCTTTCAGCTGCTCAGAGACAAACAAGACACGTTTGGTGAGGTGACAGAGAGTGATTTACAAGAACAGCTTAAACTCTATTCTATTTGAGAGTGTGGTTATGTGGATTATAGATTCAAATACCATTTTAAGGAGAGTTCAAGTTGAAATCAGTGACTTCAATGAACCTAAACAAGGGTTTGTTTTTTACTTATATGTGTATATATGTATTTATTGCTTATTATTATACATAATATGTGACCCTGGACCACAAAACCAGTCTTAAGTAGCTTGGGTATATTTTTATCAATAGCCAAAAAAAAACATTGTATGGGTAAAAATTATCGATTTTTCTTTTATGCCAAAAATCATTAGGATATTAAATAAAGATCATGTTCCATGAAGATATTTTGTAAATTTCCTACCATAAATATATCAAAACTTAATTTTTGATTAGTAATATGCATTGCTAAGAACTTCATTTGGACAGCTTTAAAGGCGATTTTCTCAGTATTTTGATTTTTTTGCACCCTCAGATTCCAGATTTTCAAATAGTTGTATCTCGGCCAAATATGGTCCTATCCTAACAAACCATACATCAATGGAAAGCTTATTTATTCAGTTTTATCAGCTAAATCTCAATTTCATGACTGGTTTTGTGGTCCAGGGTCACATATAAGTAGTGAGGAATCAGAAGTCTGGAAAAGTTTAGTATAAAATTCAGTAGTAGTGCTTTAGCTTCACTTACTGTAATGATTATAGTGCATGTCAGTTCAAATCCTTGTTAAATACAGTATGAACTAAACTGAAATAAAATTCAAAATCAGCTAATATTACTCACTAACTGTCAGCTGTCTATCTTACATATCGACACTGTGCTTCTTTAAGTTACTAGTATGAAAAATAGACAAATTATGCATGTTATTTTTTATTTTTATAAATAAAAAACACTTTTTGCTTTATATTTTTATTATTTATAAACTGTGTTATGTTTAAACGCCGCTCATAGATCAGTGCAGTCCATAGGCCAATAATGTCATTCGTAGCAATGGGCGGACTGTAATCCAGAAATAAACACCTGGTTTGATGATGTAATACATTTGAATAGGTAGATTATAAAACAGTGAATCTTTCACATGAATAGGGCCAGACTGATAGCATGAGTGGAAACTGGTCATGAAATATGCAGAAAGCTTGGGCTGTTATTAGTCTCATTCTGACTTGTTGCGTGCTGCTCTATGTAGTGCTTTGGATGAATCTCTCTGAACAGTTTCATAGGTAAGAAAATGAGTGAATCTTTTGCAAATATTCTAAATGTGTCTTATAAGGTGTAAGTATGATATTCTAATGACTGCTATATGGGGTTTATTACTGTTTTATTAGATATTTGTCTGTCTGGATTACCACAAAAATTTTATTCCTGTTTTTGCTGTACACTTTCCTCCTAATTAGCAAAACTGTCGTCATTGCTGCATTGATTTTATCACAACTTGGAACTACTAGTTTGTACACAACTGAAAAACCCATTTACTCCACTGAGCAAGAAATCAACATAACACCTATTCCGGTTCTCTATAAGAAAAATTTTACAAAACTTCCAGTGTGGGATTTTGAAGATGTTTATTTGCGAAACAATGAAGCAAGAAAACCTGTAAGTCTTTCTTCTCCAATACCATTCTCACTGTGAAGTTGTGAAATCCTTTTAATCCTTTGAAAAAAAAAATCACCTTTTCCGTAGACCTGTCCAAAGTTCCTTCAAAACACAGAGGATCCCAAGTTCAAGGAGGCTGTTCTTCCTGACGTTCAGCTGTGGCTGTACAAAGGTCTACTCAACGTAGCAGAATGGAATCGATTAGCACACTTCAACAATCCCTTCGGCTTCATGGAATACAAGTACAATGGTGATAACCTAAGGCAAATGAAAGATTTGGCATAATATGGGTGTGTAGAGTCCTGCATGTGTTTGAGAAAGGTGTGCAGCAGGTCGTTAACTTGATGTCATTATTAGCTTGATGTCATTGGAGTTTAATACTGTAAACAATGGAAACAGGGGACTTTTTTCTTTGTTTAAAGAAACATTACGGCTTCAGTGCAAGCTTAAATCGACAGCATTTGTGGCATAATGTTGATTTTACTTGTCCCACCTTTTCTTTTCAAGTCACCAATTTCATTTTTTTTTGCTGCTAAAAAGAACATTATTTTGTGTATTTGGTGTAATGAAATGTGTTTATGCGGCTTCAAGTAAAAAAAAAACATTATTTTCCACATAATGTACATTATTGTTTCTCCTCTATGCCCCGCCTTTTTGAAACGTGTCGATTTTTACAAAGCTCATTGGTCTGAAAAGCGAGGTGTGCTCTGATTGGCCAGCGATCTAGTGCATTGTGATTGGCCGAATACCTCAAGCGTGTGACGGAAATGTTACGCCCCTCACCATACTGTTGATGCCGTGTCCGACCGGAGCAACGAGACAAAAACATTAAAACCCATTACAAACGAGGCATTTGTTGCATCCAGTAGGGACATAATTACGGATTATAATGACGTATACTGTCTTTTTACGCGTTGCATCGCGCCGCGTAAACATAAAACCATGTCTGCATTTGTGATCAGAGAAATGACAAACAACAAGTGCTAACGTTAATCCACACTGCCCAAAACTCGCGTTTGAATCATCAGTGGCAAATGATAAAAGAAAACGTACTTACGTGAGTCAGAACTGCCGGCATT